TCCCCCTTTCCCTCCCTCTCTTCCCATGACGGACAGCCTCTCAAGTAGTCATGCCGTCGCCCTCGTTATAGGACGCCAAGCGTCACGAAAGGGATGATGAGCGTGTCATACATTCTTCTTCTTCTTCTTCTTCTTCTTCTTCTTCTTCTTCTTCTTCTTCTTCTTCTTCTTCTTCTTCTTCTTCTTCTTCTTCTTCTTCTAAGACTCAGGCCACGCTGCTGTTACCATGCCGCGTCGCTCTGACCACCTTGCACAATGCTAGCCTGGTCGAAATTGGCCAAATTCAGCACTGATAGTGGTGTCCGGTCAGCGGGGTGGGGACCCGCTCAACGCGATCCCGGTGGTATAAAAGCAGCGGTCCGCCCCTCAGTCGGCACGTTCAACACAACGTCCCACCGCAGACATGGAGTGGAAGTACTTTCTGTTTGCTCTTCTCGGTGAGTTGTGGGGCATGGTTGAAAAGGCCATACTCTGTCGGGATGGCGCGGTTATGGCTGCGAACCATTGAATGTTCCTGTCTCACTTTGTCTGTTCTTCGTTTCAGTCGCTGCGGCTTCGGCCGAGCAGGGATGGAAGTCCGGCTCTGAGTACAAGTACCAGGTGCGCGGTCGCACCCTGACCGCCCTGCACCAGGTCGCTAACCAGTACTCTGGCGTCCTCATGCGCGCCCAGCTTACTGTTCAGCCCAAGTCCGACAACCTCCTCGCCGCCAAGGTCTCCAACGCCGAGTACGCCAAGGTTCACCAGCAGATGCCTGCCGGTTGGGGCACCCCCATCCAGGACAGCAAGCTGAGCTTCCACTCTCTGCCCGTGAGCAGCAAGCCCTTCCAGATCAAGCTCAAGAACGGCATCGTCGACGAGCTGATCGTCAGCAAGAGCGTGCCCACCTGGGAGGTCAACATCCTCAAGAGTATCGTGAGCCAGTTCCAGGTTGACACCAAGGCCGAGAACATCATCAGCTCTCGCATCAACAACAAGCCCAGCCACGGCTCCGTCAACGGTGTGTACAAGACCATGGAGGACGACGTTACCGGCGAGTGCGAGGTCGTTTACGACATCAGCCCCCTGCCCCAGTACCAGCTCCAGAGCCGCCCCGAGCTCGCTCCCATGCCCCAGCTCCGCGGCGAGGGCCAGCTGATCGACATCGTCAAGACCAAGAACTACAGCCACTGCGAGCAGCGCCCCGGCTACCACTTCGGCCTTAACGGCCAGACCGACGTCGAGCCCGCCTCCGCCAAGATGGGCGAGTTCCTGGCCCGCTCCTCCGTCAGCCGTGTTGTCGTTTCTGGAAGCCTCCAGCGCTACACCATCCAGTCCTCCGTGACCACCAACAAAATCATCCTCAGCCCCGTGCTGTACAACAACCAGAAGGGTATGGTCGTGTCCCGCATGAACCTGACCCTCACCTCCGTCAGCTCCTCCAACAGCCACATGGAGGCCCCCGCTAACCCCCGCAAGATCAAGGACCTCGTCTACGACTACAACAACCCCTTCTCCACCAGCCAGAACGCTGAGCTGAGCGACGAGTCTAGCTCCAGCAGCTCTTCCTCCTCTTCCAGCTCTAGCAGCTCTTCCTCCAGCAGCTCTTCTTCCTCCAGCGAGGAGAGCCGCGCCCACGGCCACCACAAGCGCAGCCCCAACAACACCAGCTCCAGCAGCTCCAGCAGCTCCAGCTCTGACTCTGACTCCTGCTCTTGCGACTCCAGCGACAACGACTCTAGCTCCTCCAGGTAAGACAAATTCTTTCAAGTTTCATCCTTTAGATTTCGCCTGGGAAAATTACATTGATTTATTCCGTTATTTCTAGCTCCAGCAGCTCTAGCTCCAGCTCTAGCTCCAGCTCCTGCTCCTGCGACTCTAGCGAGGGTAACACCCGCATGCAGAGCGCTGCCGCCAAGCGTTTCCGCCGCTCTCTGAAGAACCAGAACTCTGCTAGCGCTCCCAGCTCTAGCTCTTCTAGCTCCTCCAGCTCCTCTGGCTCCTCCGACTCCGACTCCGACTCTTCCAGCTCTTCCAGCTCTTCCTCCAGGTAGAGTTAGAGTAGAATACTATGTTAATCACCTCTGTTATGACTTCTAGAAGAAGGTTTTAACAATTTCGCTTCTCCTTGGTTGTAGCTCTTCCAGCGAGGAGTCCCGTCCCCACGGCCACCAGAAGCGCAGCCACAACAACACTGGCTCTGGCAGCTCCAGCTCCAGCAGCTCTTCCTCTTCTTCCTCCTCCTCCTCTTCTTCCTCCTCCTCCAGCTCCAGCTCCAGCTCCGACAGCGACAGCTCTAGCTCCAGCTCTAGCTCCAGCAGCACCAGCTCCAGCGAGGAGTGGTTCCAGGACATGCCTAAGATGAACGAGGCCCCCAAGAACCCCATGCTCCCCTACTTTGTCGGCTACATGGGCTCCTCCATCCAGGCTTCCAACCAGATCAACGCCATCCAGGCCGTCCAGAAGCTCTGCCAGCAGATTGCCCACGAGATCCAGAACCCCAACCAGATCCCCGAGAAGGCCACCCTTGCCAAGTTCAGCATCCTGGCCCGCCTGATCCGCACCATGGACGCCAAGCAGCTTGAGCAGGCTAGCCAGCAGCTGTACACCTCCGCCTCCTCCAAGAGCGCCAGCCAGAGCCAGAGCGCCACCGAGAAGGTTGCCGCCTGGAAGGCTTTCCGTGACGCCGTCGCCCAGGCCGGTACCGGCCCTGCCCTCCAGCTCATCAAGGAGTGGATCCAGAACCACAAGATCCAGGGTGAGGAGGCCGCCGAGATCGTCGCCACCCTCCCCATGGCCGCCCGCGTGCCCACCAAGCAGTACATGGACGCCTTCTTCGACCTGATCAAGAAGTCCGAGGTCCAGAAGCAGCAGTTCCTGAACGTCTCCGCCATCCTGTCCTTCAGCAACCTTGTCCGCAAGGCTCAGGTTGACAACGCTACCGCCCACAACCGTTACCCCACCCACGTCTTCGGCCGCCTTAACCCCAAGAAGGCCTCCGCCGTTGCCCGTGACTACATCCCCTACCTGGCCCAGCAGCTCAAGGATGCCGCCCAGAACGAGGACAGCCACAAGATCCAGGTCTACATCCGTGCCCTCGGCAACACTGCCCACCCCAAGATCCTGTCCGTGTTCGAGCCCTACCTCGAGGGCAAGAAGGCCATCAGCGACTTCCAGCGCCTGCACATGGTCACCGCCCTGAACAAGCTCGCCAAAGTCTCTCCTAAGATCGCCCGCCCCGTCCTCTTCCGCCTTTACCAGAACGCTGGTGAGGCCCACGAGATCCGTTGCATCGCCGTCTACCTGCTGATGAAGACCAACCCTCCCGCCAGCATGCTCCAGCGCATGGCTGAGTTCACCAACCAGGACCCCAGCAACGAGGTCCGCGCCGTCGTCAAGTCCGCCATCGAGTCCGCCGCCAACAAGCTCAACTCCAACATGCAGCAGGAGCTGTAAGTAGCGTGCAGCTCCTCCCGATACAGCGCTTCGGGCTACTCTGACCCCACTTCTTACTGATTGGCACATGTGTCTGATTTGTTGCAGGTCCCAGAACGCTAACGCCGCCGTCGACATGCTGAACGCCACCAAGTGGGGCCAGCAGTACTCCCAGGCCCAGTTCTGGAGCGAGGATGTCGCTGGTGACATGAACCTGGCCTACCAGGCCGCCCTCCTGACCATCGGCAGCGACGACACCCTCCTGCCCCGCAACGCTTTCCTGAACCTGAACAACAACCTCGGTGGTTACCGCTACAAGTACTTCAGCGTGAGTAGCTCTCGATAACCCACAACTTGGGCGTCCTTTATCTGCGCCGCTTGTCCGACACTGACCTCTGTTTCTCTGACTGTAGGCTGGCGCCATGGCCTCCAGCGTCGATGACCTGATCAACCTGTTCGCCAACCAGTGGCAGTCCCAGAGCCAGAAGTCTAAGCACCACGGCAAGCGCTCCTCCTCTTCCTCCAACTCCGAGTGGTCCGCTGAGAAGATCGCCAACATGCTCAACATCCAGCCCGACCAGGCCGCCCAGATTGAGGCTAACGTGCTCATCAACCTGCTCGGTCAGCAGCGTTTCTTCGCCATCGACAACCACACCGTCGAGCAGCTGCCCCAGCTGATGCAGAAGGCCGCCAACACCCTCCGCTCCGGCGAGAACTTCAACTACACCAAGCTGTACAACAAGCTTTCCGTCACCATGGGCTTCCCCACCGCCATGGGTCTGCCCTTCGTGTACCAGCTGAAGACCCCCTCTCTGCTGTCCATCGGCGGTGAGGTCCGCGTCCGCACCCAGCCCGACATCGCCAACGGTCCCAAGGAGACATCCAGTTCCTGTACTCTACCAAGCTCGAGTCCAAGATGGGTTTCATCACCCCCTTCGACCACTACAGCTTCGTTGCCGGTCTTGACAAGGACCTCCAGATCAACCTGCCCATCCGCGCCAACATTGACCTCGACCTCCAGAACGCTGAGGTCCGCGCCAAGCTCCAGCCCATCGAGTCCAACAAGAAGGCCCAGATCGTGCTGATTGCTTCCCGCCCCTACACCGCCCAGCAGAACATCCTGGACCTGAGCCCCGTCAACCAGATGCCCATTCAGGTGCGCAAGCCCCAGATGGCCAACTTCACCGTCGGCCAGGACATGACTGGCATGGCTTTCCGCGTCGACGCTGCCACCGAGATGAGCGGCTCCCCCTACGCTGCCATCATTGAGGCCTTCCAGAGCCGTGACGCCCTCGCCACCCTCGTGATGCCCTCCGCCGAGGAGTCCATCAAGGCCTACGAGTACTCCGTCTCCTACGAGCCCCAGAAGTCCACCGCCCACAGCCTGACCCTCACCGCCTCCTACGACAACAACCAGGACGATGAGAACAACAACAACAACTCTGACGACGCCTCCTACGAGCAGCGTAAGAGCAAGAACGCCAAGAAGGCCAAGCGCTCCAACAACGACTCCAGCGACAGCGACTCCAACGAGTCCGCCTCCGACTTCAGCGAGGAGCAGACCAGCGCCAGCCAGAACCTTGCCAACCCTACTTGCAACTCCGCTAACTGCCAGAAGCGCCAGCAGCAGTTCCTCCGCCGCGTCGCCGCCGGCATCAAGAGCGCCCGCGCCTCCGTCCTGGACCTTTCCGCCCAGTTCAACGGCCAGACCAAGGCCCAGTTCGTCGCCACCGCCGCCGTTGCCAACTCCCCCGTCGACGAGAAGTCTCGCGTCCTCGTCTACCTGCGCCGTGACCCCGCCCACGCCAAGCAGATGGAGCTCGCTCTGACCGCCACCTCCAAGATGCCCAACGTGCCCGCCATCAACTTCCTGAAGGCCCTCCAGGCTCAGCCCAACAGCGCCTTCCAGTGCCAGCTCAACTTCGGCGAGAAGCTCGACTCCTCCGCCGCCCAGGTTAACATCAACGGCCAGATGAAGCAGACCAACGCCCGTCGTGAGCAGGTCCGCCGCGAGCCCATGGCCCTCATGTGCCAGCAGCAGATGGAGCACGGTAACTTCGCTCTGCCCGCCTGCCAGAACGCCACCAACGCCGCCAACGTGCTCGACCAGTACAAGGTCCAGATCCACTTCGAGAAGGTCTCCGACTTCGTCAAGAACGCCACCGCCAAGGTTTACGACGCCGCCCGCTACCTCGGCTGGCAGTACAACTCCGAGAACTTCGTCAACCCCAAGAACTCCCACAGCAACAAGGTTGAGCTCGAGCTCCGCTTCGCTCCCAACCTCAAGTCCGCCAACCTGACCATCGACGCCCCCACCATGAGCGCCGAGTTCAACAACGTCCGTCTCAACCAGTACGTCCGTCAGGCCGCTGCTCTCCACCCCATGTACACCCCCTGGACCCAGCTTAACCAGAAGCTGTTCCGTGCTCAGTACAACCGTGAGTATCGACACATTCAGTAAACCACGTAGTATATTGTTATTTTAAGAACAGAGGCCGGCAACTTACCACTTTTCAATTTGTCTCCACAGCTACCTGCACCATTGACAAGTCTGCCGCCAACACCTTCGACAACCGCACCTACCCCCTGAACCTGGGCAACAACTGGCACGTCATGATGCAGTCCGTCCCCCAGGAGTCCGCTGACTCCAGCTCCTCCAGCTCCAGCCAGGAGGACGCCACCAACTACGTGAGCGTGCTCGTCCGCGATGCCAGCTCCCACGACCAGAAGGAGCTCAAGGTTGTCCTCGGCGACGATGTCATCGAGATGACCCCCTCCGGCAGCAGCAACGGCGCCAACGTCAAGGTCAACGGCCGCACCATCCGCATCTCCAGCCGCAACGTCACCGAGGTCCAGAACCAGAACGGTGACGTCCTCGCCCAGTTCTACGCCCTGCCCGACTCCGTCAAGATGGTCGCCCCCGAGCACGAGATTGAGATCCTGTACGACGGTGTCCGCGTCATCCTGACCGCCTCCGACAGCTACCGCAACGAGGTCCGTGGTCTCTGCGGCACCTTCAACGGCGAGCAGACCTCCGACTTCACCACCCCCGCCAACTGCATCCTCCGCAAGGCCGAGCAGTTCGCCGCCACCTGGGCCGTCAACCCCTCCGGCAACGTCCGCGAGCAGCAGCAGAAGGCCCAGCAGGCCGCCTGCTACCGCCAGGTCGTCATGATCGGTGACTCCGTCAGCGACGCCGAGGCCGGCCGCTACCAGGCTAAGCAGCACTCCAACAACAAGCACTCCAGCAACAAGCACTCCAACAACAAGCACTCCAGCAGCAAGCGCGCCAGCGGCAAGAGCTCCAGCTCCCAGACCCCCCGCGACTGCTCCGCCCACCGCGTCCAGGTTGTCCAGCACAACGGCCAGGTCTGCTTCTCCCTGAAGCCCCAGCCCGCCTGCAACGCCCAGTGCAAGCCCACCCAGAAGTACGAGAAGCAGGTCGACTTCCACTGCGTCGCCGACTCCAGCGCTTCCCGCCACTGGGCCGAGATGGTGAAGAAGGGCGCCAACCCCGACTTCAGCCAGAAGGGCGCCAACAAGAGCATCAAGATCAGCCTGCCTGAGTCTTGCCGTGCCTAAGCACTTGCTCCCCGTGTTACCTCTGTACGAGATGATTCCAACCAATAAATAGTGCTAGAACTACCTCAGTTATGCCATTTTGTCTTCGCCCATTGTCCAACACCACACTATCTCTCTCGACAGAGCCAGACAGGCTGTCTTTACATTATTTAAAGCGCTGACGTTATCTCTCAAAATACAGGCCTACACCACAACCAAAATGTTTTGTCTGGATGGGAGGATTACAAACCGCAGCGGAGCTGCGAGACGAGGCCCGCACGACGACGACAACGGCTGAAAAGGCGCATGACACCATGAGGACTGCGGTTTATCCGGATCTTCCCGGTCATGACGAACAACCGAGTAAAGCGCTCGGTCCGTCACGAGCAAAAGCGGTAGAGGGGAACAGGAGGGGGGGGGGGCGATCTGCAAAACAAATCAAGATAATTCCGGATCGGCTGACGCCAGTGCTCGCTGGAGCGGCGGCCCCCACTCGTGACGTTCCGGTCTCCTTTTGTGTCGCTCCCTGTCATTACCGTCTCGCCAGTTCGACGAATGAATGACTTCCCCGCGCAGCGCCGCGATGAGGTCTCGTCGGCCGCGAGGAGAGGTGTCGCGAAGCATGTGTGGCCTTCCCGTTCCCTTCCCTTCCCTGCGCCGCCCCGGCCCGGCGTTCGCGAGGAATACTCGTTTTGTTATTGTGCTGCTCTCTGCCCGTCACGCGCGGCTCACCGTCGTCGCTTACTCTCTTTTTGCTCCAACGGCTCGCGTAGAGAGACGCAACTCCGAGCCTAGAGACGCAAAAGCAGGAGTCAACATATTGTCGCTCCCTAGCTCAGGTCAACAAGTTGACTCGTCCCGAGGTGCGTGCGTAACGCCTTATCTCCGCCTCCTTGGTCGCGGGGGTGCACGCGGCACGCGGCACGCGCGGCCGGCCGGCCTGCGAGGCGAGGCGGTCTGATGGGCTGCCTACCCTCTGGGCGCTGCCAGGCGCGTGGGCTCCGGCCGCTGGCTGCACCTGTGCCGCCCGCCCCGCCCGCCCCATCGTCAGCTGTCGCCCCGCCGCCGCTGGGGGGCCCCGGCACTTGATCTATCGCCGCGTCCCAGAAAGTCTCTCCTCTCCGGGCGCGTGGCGCAAACTCCGATAGTCCGGTGCGGACCGAGGGGCGAGCACTGCTCGAGCTCCAACCCGCCCCACAGCAGCGCGTGTACGCCGTGCCGCACCCAGTCGCCCCCGGGAGGCGGAATCGCGTCGTCGTGGGTCGCACCTGACGACCGCATATACACGCCGCGCCGCCGCGTCACACGGTCACGTGACGGCTGCTGTGCACCCGGCGCTGTTGTACTCAGCGCTTGGCCCTTTTGCAAATAAGTACACAGAGTCTCATGCCGCCGCCCCGGGGGGCGCCCCGGTGTGTTGCCAGGGGGAACGGAGATGACTAGGAACGCTGCTGATGACCGATCGATCAGGTCGTGCGCGGAGCGAGCTGCCCGGGCTGGGTCGTTAGAGGAATAATGACTAAGGTGTACCTGGCCCGAGACCTGGCCCGGAGATGGGAGCCGGGGGTACCTGATTCCGGCAATCCATTTGGGTAAATTACCCCCCCCCCCCTCATTCCGCTCGGTGGCATCCGTCGGTACCCGGTGGCTCCCGGTGGCGGCGGTACTCGTCCTGCTGGGGGCAGCAGCGGTGCCGCCCCTCGTGAATCGCGGAGCAGCATGACTCATATCCGCGGCAACGGCGACACTTCCTCGCCGCGTCGCGTCAGCCTAAGGGTCGGCTCACAGGCGCAGTAAAAGCGATGAGGCGGCCACTTAATTTCGAACGGAGAAAAAAAAAGGATTACAGTACGTCTTACATTCCATGCGCGCAAGGTCTCGGGAACCCACGACGAGCCTCGAGTGCGGAATCATTGTCACACATGCAAAAGAATGAGGAATGAGGGGGGGGGGGATAATTTTCAGGAAGTGGTCTGGCCGTCTTGTATTACATGCGATCGCAAGAGGAAGGAAATGGCCATCATCTGCCGGTGATGAAAAGTGGCGTGTGGAGGGACACGCGCGCCTTCTTTGCGCGCCACGCAGGCGACTCGCTTTTCTCGGAGAAAGTCTTCGCCTCGCGCTTCGGTTCCCGATCACGTCGTCGCGGAACACAGACCAGTTTATGCGACGCGCGAAGAAGCACCCAATTATATCGGCGAGGCAGGACGACGCCCTGACCGACCAGCCGCGAGCGGTCTATTTTTAGAATAGACGTCGATGGGCCGTGTTCGCCGTTCCAGGCGACTCCCCTGGACGCTGAAGGCGAGACTCCAGGAGAATCCAGGGAGACCCTATGCAGGAGACTTCTAGGTTTCATCCCCTCAGTGGTGCATACGTCCTCCATTCGCCGTCACGAAATTCTGCCGCGGCCCCTGGGCAAGCTCTCATAGCTCCTGATAGGTAGGCAACATCTTGCCTGCAATGCATGCGTGTATTGCGGAGTGGCCTACCCCGAGTCTCGCAGGCGCCGAGCTCTCGTAACTTGCTGAGTGCATTCGAGGAAAACGGTCGTGTGCTTTCTGGGCGATCCCCTATGTATTCAGGTGACTTCACTCTCCGGCGCTTCTTGGTGACTGGAGGCCGATAGGCGACTCTAGTGAGCTCAGGCGTCCGTTTGACTCCAGACGTTTCCGAGCGTGTCCAGGCCGCGCGCGCCGTGCCGCCGTGCCCCGCTGACGCGCCACGTGACAGTTGACCGCTCCGGAGTCACGCGCGCTCCTCCTAAAGCTGCAAGCGCCGCCGAGAGCCATTATCTCGTTTCGATTGATTCTGCCCTGCGTTTCCGTAAACAAAACACCGCGCCGGGAGCTCTCAAACGACACAACGCTTGGCGCGCCGCGCTGCCTTCTTCCCGACGAGGTGCCCCTTGCGGCCGGCCGCCCCCGGATGCCCTGGACCCGCCCCTGACGATGTGTCGCGTGCCCATCGCAATCACTAACATCCTGAGCGAGACCGCTAGCCAGCTAGCTAGCATACCGACCTCATGACTTGGCTGCCCCCGCACAAGAAGGCCCGCGGGAGCGCTGAGCAACGCGGAGCAGCGCCGAGCACTTCCACACAGCACGATAAGCGGCCGCGCCACACGTCAATATAATGAGGAGAAATGGTAAACACACCGGAGTCAGCCGCGGGCGGCCGGCGGCGAGCAGACGACAGACAAGTGTCCATCCAAGAAAAAAACTGTTCATTGAGCTGAGTACATTCCCCAAAAGTGCTGCCCGACCTCGGTTTTGTCCGACCTATTTTTCTCCGACCTCGTCGATATTCTAAAATTTGGGAAGAATGTACTTCAAGGAGGAACAGGCTTCAAAAATAAGAAGCTACGTTTAGTGACCGTGAAAGCAGATGATTGCGACACCCGTAAGTCCAACAACCAAAAAGTACGGGGGCCGGCTGACGAATTGCGCGTCATAGCGGCCGCTGTGGATAAAGCTCCGGTTCCTTCGATCACCGAAGACGCCCACTGACTAAGCCTTCGGGGGACTTCACTTTTCTATTTTTTTAAAAAATTACCGTTCAGCAAAGAAGTCTGGCAGGTACACACTTGTAACAGTCGACCTGGTAAGCACACACCTGCTCGTGCGTGACTGCAGGCACGCTGTTCCTTGTGTGTACATGGTCGACAGTTGGTTTTAATGAGCTTCCTATGCCCATGCCGCTAGTCAGCTGAATTGCAAGATAGCTAGAAACAAACAGCTATAAACAAATGACAGCAAAATACGAGAGAAAATTAGGACACAGACATATTTCCTTAAATTTGTATCATCTGCTTTCACGACACGTCACTAAACGTAGCTTCTTATTTTTGAAGAATGTTCCTCTTTGAAGTACATTCTTCCCAAATTTTAGTAAATCGACGAGGTCTTGGACACCATTAGCGTCCTCCATACAAGCTAGGGTCTTCAAATACAAGATCTTTTTTACCGTGCGGTCAAACGCACTCAACCACCCAACCCCTATCCACGAACGCGCGTAGAGATTACAATAGTACACCAAAGAGCAAGTGACACTCCATGCACCTAGTTCCTCATGAGTATGGTGGGTTGCATAAGCACCGGCTCGGAGGCGCTGTCGGGAGCGCTCAGGATTTCGCGACGCGAATCCCCGCGGAACCGCGAGCCTCCCAGTGGAACCGCGGGGGATGTGCGAAATCCTGCGCTTTCCCAACAGCGCCTGAGAGCCAGCGCGTATGCAACCCGCCATACTGGCATGTAAGAGCCGGGACACCCGGTACAGTTATTCGTTGTCAGACGTCTCTTTACCCACCCACCATAATCGCAAAAGTGTGCACCTCGGTGTGCTGCACCGAGCGGTCTCAGGATGGCGCCTAACAGTAGGCAATACTGGCAATACAACGCAGTTCGTCTTGGCGGGTGGCCTACTCTGAAGTTGGCAGGGGGTGAGGGGGTGAGAGCTTCAGCGCAGCGGACGAGCACTCCGGCCGGAAGGAGCGGGGAGGCAGCACCTCCCCCGCCCCTCCAAATCCCCGATTCTTGGGCATAGAGAGGGGTGTTTTGAAGAACACTGCTCCACGTGTTTGATGCGCGGGCCGGGCCAAACACTCTGAGGTTTTCACGGTGACCTTTGCGTGGCGCTCTGCTCCCGCTCTGC